TGCGTTTCCTTCTGGGCTCTAGGGCTATGGGTCCCGATCCCTCACTTTTAGAACCAGGCATGCAGCATCCCTGACTGTTCTTCTGAAGTCCCATTTCCCTCTCCCTTTCTCTCTCTACCATTATTCTACCCCTCCCTCCCTCCTTCCCTCCTGGGAATGGAACCCAGGATCTCAGTATGGTAGGCAAGCACTCTGCCACTGAGCTACACCCCAGCCCTATTGTTTTATAATTTTATTCCTCTGGTTGGAAGATGTGTATAGTTTCAGCCCTTTGAAGTTTATTGATGCTGTGTCAGGGCTTGGTGCATGGCTTGTTTTGCTTTAGCCTCTAAACTTACCTTGGGTCCAGCTGTCCTTTGCTTTATTCCTTGCAGAAAACTCCCAGTTCCAGCAGCTCAGCCCTTGGGTTGCCCAGGGTGTCCTTTCCAGGGTGGCTTCTTTCTTTTCCACCTTGTGGAACTGGGACCACCAAGTGCTGGGGTATGGCCATGGTGTGGCCCCTCCATTTATTTTGAAGTTAACCAAGATATGTTATCAGTCTTTTGTTGTTGGTAGTATCATCCATGAGTAACGGTTTTGCAGTTTCTAATTCTGTCCTTATTAAAAGATTTGAGGAAATTAAAGTCTAGGCTGTATTACAAACAAATAAATAAACATAAAATTTTTCAAATGCATAAAATAGCTATACTTGAAAGTCTAATTCCACTTTTCTCTAACCTATGAGATATTTGCTGAGAATTGGGCTACCATGTGAAATGGAATTCTTCAGTGCTTTATTACTTTTCTTTTATTGAGAGCTTGATTTTTTTTTTTTTGGTACCAGGGATCGAACCCAGGACCTTGCGCTTGCAAGGCAGGTGCTGGAACCACTGAGCTAAATCCCCAGCCCTAAAATAGCTACACTTAAGGGAGAAAACTTACCCAAGAAATTCCTAGACATAGTGCTAGATTGTGCATCCTCGGGTCTGATGACAGAAAAGTACAAACCATTATTAATCTCTAGAGAGGAGTGTGGCTTTTCCTTGGTGGAACTTAGCAATTCTAAAACTGCTTCCAGTGAGTTACAGGACTGAGTAAATGAGCACCTTACCCAGGGTACTGGGGTCTGGACTCCCATGTGGAGAGAAAACATACAGTCCTAGAAAGGAAGCCCGATCCTGTGCCATGGAGTTGTCAGCATATGCTTGTAGTTTCTGTTGACATGCACATGCCTGAGGACATGGATGTTTGCGCTGTTGGTGTTTAATTCATCCTGAGGAAGGACCTGGGAGCGAGGCACTGATGTAGCACTGCGAGTGCCAGAGGCCGAGCTGTCACTGTGTGGCCACGCGCTTGTCTGTGCTGCATGTAGAGATGTGTCGCCTCTGCCTGGAGCATGTTCTCCTCCACCTTTGTCCAGACTGCCTGCTGACACCTGTGTTTGATTTGTGTAACAGCATTTTATTTTATAACGTGGTGGGAATATTTTTGCTGGTCGTTAAATTCTAGTTTGGCATTGTAGGACTTTGGAGATCTTGCACCTTTGTCTCCTGGTTTATGTTGTTTCTCTTGGAAAGTCAGCAGTGGGCAGCACGCACATCCCCAGTCCCACAGTTCCGGTCCCCCTTGGCCAGCCACAGTGCAGACACAAACATTTGTCTTGACTGTCTGGAAAGAGACAGCATTCACGTAACTGTCGTTGCACCATGCTACTCTGATTGTCCCATTTTACTGTGCCTCATTTGTAAATCAGACCTCATTGTGGACATGGATATGTAGGAAAAGAATGTGTAAGATTCATTGTTCCATGGTTTCAGGCATATGCTGGGTGACAGTCTCAAAGGAAAAATAAAAGGGCTGAGGATGGAGCTCAATGTGAAGCCTCTGGCTTAATTCCCAGTACCAAAAGATAAATAAATAAAAGCCTGTTTTATTTTTTTCTATTTTTTTTAATTTTTATTTTTTGGGGAGGTACCAGGGATTGAACTCGGGTCCTGGTGCTTGCGCAGCAGGTGGCGCAACCACTGAAGTAAATCCCCAGCCCTAAAAGCCTGTTTTAATGTCGTCATCTACTAAGTTTCTCATCTGAGTCCTATCTGGGTCTGCTCGTAGAAGCTGTTTTTACCTTGGTTATAGGTCTTCTATTCATGCTTCTCCACATGTCTGGTAATTCTTGTTTGATATCAGCCTTTTGAATTGTACTTACTGCATGTGGTAGTGTTTATGCCATCGTAAGTGCTGTTAGACTAGTTTTATGGGGTGGGTGAGTGGCGGTCACCTTTCCCCCCATGAGGCTTGGGGCTCACCTTGTGTGGGAGGCTCCAGAGCAGCCTGTAAGCCCCACGGCTGGGTCCTTACCCTCTGGGCCTGGTGCTGTGTGTGCTCTGAGTAGGAATGCCACATTGTGGTTCTGAGAGCCCTGGCGATAACTTGTCCATGGGTTCTTCTCCGCAGGTTCTCGAATTTCTACACAGGTCAGTGTGCGGCCAGACCGAGAGTTAGCCTCCTCTCCAGGGCACAGCCTGAGTGTGACAAGACTGACTTCCTGATCTTCAGGAGGCCTCAGGCCTTGTCATTAGGCAGGAACCAAGTGGCTGTGCTGCCTGTGCATGCCCCTTAGCAAAGTGAGCGTTTCTTCTGTTGTTTATTTGCTGATGGCTTTTATCAAGACAGATGTCGAATTAATCACATGCTTTTCTGCCGCTATTGAAATGATCTTGGGTTCTGTTCATCCTTCTCCTAAAGGGGTGAATTGTGTTGATTGATGTAGGGATCCAGCTTCCCCCTGAGTGCTGACCACCACAGTCGCCCTGAGTAACTTGTCCCCTCGCACCTTATAAACAAGCAAAGCCACTGGAGTGAGAGGAGGAGCCCATGTAGGTGCAGTTGTGCCTGGCTGCCGAGTAGGAAATTCCCCCTTGGATGAATCTGTTCCTGTCCTAACTCTTCCTTTGCCCTCCCCCTGCCCCACACTGTGCTTTCTTTCCGTGCTCTGAGTCTCAGTAGACTGTGTTCTAGAACATTTGTGTCCAGGTCTTCATGTGGACGCATGTTCTGAGTTCTCCTGGGGGTATATCTAGCTGTAGAATTGCCGTTTGAAGCCACAATTCTAGACTTCAGATAGTTGTGCTGTTTTGCGTTTGTACCAGCAGTGAGGTCCCCATTTTTCCACATCCTCATTACTCACTTTTTTATTCTGGCCATCCTGGTGGGTGTGTATTGGAAACTCACTGTGGTTTAGATTTATTTACAGTGTTCTAATTATGTGATTCTTTTCCAAATCTGGCTTTCCACTCTTTACGGTCTTATAGTTTTTCTCATTTATTGTGTGTGCGTGTGCATGTGTGTGTGTATTGTACTGGGGATTGAATCAAGGGGCACTGTACCACTGAGCTATGTCCCCAGCCCTTTTGATTTTTTGGGACAAGGTCTCACTAAGTTGCCCAGGTTGGCCTTGAACTTGTAGTCCTCCTGCTCAGGCTCCCAAGTAAGTGGGATTACAGACATGTACCACCATGCCTGGCTTCTATATATTATTTTTTAAATATTTTACATACGAGCCATGTGTGGTGGCACATGTCTTTGATCCTAGCACTCTGAGGCTGAGGCAGGAGGATCCCAATTTCAAGCCCATGTTGGATTTAGCTCCATGATTCTGGTGCCTGCCTCACAAGCACAAGGTCCTGAGTTCAATCCCCGGTACCCCCAAAAAATGGGCTGGGGATAAAATTCAGTGTAAACGCCCTGGGTTCAATCCCTACTATTCCCCGATCAAAACAAAATGTGTGTGTGTGTGTGTGTGTGTGTGTGTGTGTGTATGATCATTTTACATCAAGTGTGTGGTGACTGCAGCAAACAAATCTTTGGTGTTGTAGAAGTGCTGCTTATTGCTTTTGCAGTCTGTCCCTCAGGGTGGCTTGTTTCCTAGTGTGTTTAGTGGTATTTAGGTTTTCAGCTAATTGTGGTGCTAGGATTTCAGCCCAGAGCCCCGTGTGTGCTAAGCATCCATTCTTATGTGTGCCCCAGCCCTTATTTGGGGCTGTATTTGGCTGCAGCCTGTGCTCCTGGGAAGCCTCCTGCCACACCGTGTCCTGTCAGGGAAGCTGGCAGGTTTATGAGCCTGGGACTCTTCCAGGGGTGACTGGGACCCTTTCTCAGGCTACCTACCTAAAGCTACCTACCACCCCTGATCAGCCCAGATGGCTATGGCTGAAGCCTGTTTTCCAGTGGGGGGAGTCATGATACGGCTCTGGGACTGCCTGGATGACCTGCATTCCACCAGCACAGGCTCAGCCCCTCCGCCCATCACCCACATATCCGACCCAGCCTGACCTCACTCCCAGCAGCCCAGGCTGTGTATGAAGCACTTTTGCCACAGTGAGCGTGCACTCCCTGGTGTTGGTACCCAAACTGCCAGTGTTTGTTGCTACTTTTTAAATTTTTTTATTAAACTGTTCCACTCCTGCCCTATACACTTTCATTATCCTTTGAATTTCTGCCAAATTAGTCTGAAATGATCATTTTACTTATAGAGCAGGGTGGAATGAATTGATTTCAAATCAATTCTGATTAACCTCAGCTTTTGAGTACCTCCGGTAAACTGAAGAGTGGCAATGCAAATTCCCTATGAAAATAACTTTAATACCATGGTAGCTCTTTTTCTGTGTTCCTCTGATCCTCTGCCAGTAGGCAGTTTGAATTTTAATTCATATCTACTTTTTGCTTACTTTGCAGCCATAGGGTATTTTTATTATGTGAATGGGTTGTGTAATGTCAGGGAATTGGTTTTTCTGTTTCTGTTTTCCATTGTGAAGTCTTTTCCATCTTTTTGTATTTGGGATGACATGTCCATGACAGTATAGATCTAAGATGCATGGGTTAGGGGCCGGGGATTTAGCTCAGTGGTTCCGGCACCTACCTCAAAAGCGCAAGGTCCTGAGTTCGATCTCCGCTACCAAAAAAATAAATAAAATGAAATGCATGGGTTGGCTCTGTGCTTACTTTGCTGTCATCTTTTATAGGAAATGCAGAAGGACTGAGTGTGTGCTGACAAGGTGGCAAGGGTCCTGTCCTTAGCAGCAGAGGCAAGTCTGGCCAAAAGTACGTACGTCCACACCTCCAGGGACACATTCTACACGGCACTCCCAGGACACAGTGCCTCGGGCCCTGTGACGGCTCCTGCCAGGACTGCGTACTGTTCAGTGAGGTTTGTGATGGGCTGTGTCCACAGAGCCATCCTGGAGGACGGAACGCATGTGAAACATGGAGGTGCTCTGCACTCGGGCCACGACGGAGCATTGGGACCAATTTCTCATTAGCCTGAGACTTTAGCATGACGAAGCAGGCGGGATAGTTATGATTGGTCATGGAAAATAACCAGGAAACTTGTCCCAAAGGGGACGAGGATTTCGTTTCTGATAAGATAAATTTCAAAATAGAGGAGGAAGACGATGCTCAAATCCCTAGCCACCATCTGGAAAGAATGGACTTCCAAAGTGAGCAGGAGGACATGAGGCCAGCAGACAGTGGGGACGAGCAGGCAGAGGTTGGGGCTGCAGGCTGCGCCTGTCGGCCCCCCGGGAAGTGCCTGCCCGCGGAGAGTGAGGATGAGTACGGGGCCCTGCTCTCCCAGTACAGCAGCACCCTGTACAGTGTGGCCATGGAGGCCGTCACTCAGAGCCTCCTCTCCGGCCGCCACCTGAGCTCCAGAAAGAAGTCTCCAGCCTGGAAGCATTTCTTCATCTCCCCCCGAGACAGCACTAAGGCCATCTGCAGGTACTGCGTGAAGGAGTTCAGCAGGGGCAAGAATGAGAAGGACCTGAGCACCAGCTGCCTGATGCGGCACGTGAGGCGTGCGCACCCCACCAAGCTGGCGCCCGAGAACGGGAGCCTCGCCGGGGCACCCTTCCCCACGCCCTCACTCCTGCTCCCACCGCAGCCCGAGGACACGGGTGACCTAGGCGCCACACTGTCCCCCGTCAGTCTCGTCCCAGACATGGCGCCTAAGATCCCGTCCCCTGACCGGATAAAGGAGGAGTGTGTGTCCGCGGTGCCCTCGGAAGGAGTCACAGACACGTTTGGCAGAGAGGAGGCCCTAGCGGGCTGCTCCCCACACCTGCCTTCGGTGCACTATGATGAGGCCGCTGCAGACGGCCTGGCTGAGAGGAGCCTGCTGCTTCCCAGGAGCACGGCTGGCTCCAGGAGGAGGTCCGCCGTGTGGAAGCACTTCTACCTGTCGCCCCTCGACAGCTCCAAGGCTGTGTGTGTGCACTGCATGAACGAGTTCAGCAGGGGCAAGAACGGCAAGGACCTGGGCACGAGCTGCCTCATCAGACACATGTGGCGGGCGCACCGTGCCGTTGTGCTGCAGGAAAATGGGAGTGGCCCCGGCATCCCACCCCTGTACTCCACACCCCCTACACTGCTGCCCACCCTGCTGCCCCCTGAGGGCGACCCTAGCTCTGTGGCATCCTCTCCAGGAAAACCCATGGGGGAGTGCCCATCCACTGCCTCATCCCCAGACCAGCTAGCCGAGGACCTGCCGCTCCATGCCCATCCTGGGGACACGCTCCAGGAAGATGCGTCCGTGCTGTCATCCTCTGACGACGTCGCTGAGGCCTCGGCTGTGTCCTCCCACAAGAAGCCGCGCACTGACGGGCTGAGTCCCAGGAGGTTTGAATCAGGGGCCATCTTTCAGCAGAATAAGAAGGTAATGAGGAGACTCAAGTCAGAAGTCTGGCACCACTTCTCTCTGGCCCCCACGGATAGCCTCAAGGCCGTGTGCCGCCACTGCAGCTGTGCCATCAGCCGGGGCAGGAAGGGGGACGTGGGCACCAGCTGTCTGATGCGGCACCTGTACAGGCGCCATCCCGAGGTGGTCGGTGTGCAGAAGGATCTCCTGGGTGCCAGTCTGGCCAACTCTCCATATGCCACACTGGCTTCTGCCGAGAGCTCCTCCTCCACGCTGAGTGTCTTGCCATCTGCAGTCAGGAAAAACCACCAGGTCCTGTTTCCTGTCCACAGCAAGAAGACCTCAAAGCTGTGGAACCACTTTTCCATCTGCTCCGCGGACTCCACCAAAGTGGTGTGCCTGCACTGTGGCCGCACCATCAGCCGAGGCAAGAAGCCCACCAACCTGGGCACCAGCTGCCTCCTGAGACACCTGCAGCGGTTTCATGGCCATGTTCTCAAGACTGATACCTCAGAGCCCGTGCTACCCTGTTCTGTGGCTGGGCAGGGGCCGCTGAGCTCCGAGGTGCCAGGAGCTTCCTCCTTCAGTGACTCCAATGAGAAGCTTTACGACTCTCACCCAGTTGCCAAAAAAATCACAAGTCTCATCGCTGAAATGATTGCACTTGACCTCCAGCCATACTCTTTAGTAGACAATGTTGGCTTCAGCAGGCTGCTCGAATACTTGAAACCTCAGTACTCCCTCCCCTCCCCTTCCTACTTTTCCAGGACAGCTATCCCAGGTATGTATGACGATGTGAAGCAGATCATTATGTCACAGCTGAAGGAAGCAGAGAGTGGGGTGGTCCACTTCACCTCTGGGATCTGGATGAGCAACCAGACCCGTGAGTACCTGACCCTCACAGCGCACTGGGTCACCTTCACATCCTCTGTCCGCCCGCACTGCGAGGACCACCACTGCTCAGCCCTCCTGGATGTATCGCAGGTCGATTGTGACTACAGTGGCAATAGCATCCAGAAGCAGCTGGAGTGCTGGTGGGAAGCCTGGGTGACCTCCCTTGGCCTCCAGATTGGCATCACAGTCACAGACAACCCTAACATCGGGAAGACACTAAGTGAGGCAGAGCACTCAAGCGTGCAGTGCTTCAGCCACACGGTGAACCTGATTGTGAATGAGGCCATCAAGAGCCAGAGGATGGTGCAGAACCTGCTGAGTCTGGCGCGGAAGCTGTGCGAGCGTGTGCAGCGGTCTCCCAGGGCCAGGGAGAAGCTGGCAGAGCTGCAGAGAGAGTATGAGCTGCCACCGCACCCACTTATCCAGGACGTGCCGTCCCGGTGGAACACATCCTTCCATATGCTCGAGCGGCTGCTGGAGCAGAAGAGGGCCATCAACGAGATGTCCATTGAGTGCAACTTCCGGGAGCTCATCAGCTGCGACCAGTGGGAAGTCATGCAGTCTGTGTGCCATGCATTGAGGCCCTTTGACGCCGCCAGCCGGGAGATGAGCACACATGCATCCACTCTGAGCCAGGTTATCCCCATGATCCACATCCTCAGCAGGAAGGTGGAGATGCTATTTGGGGAGACGATGGGCATCGACACCATGCTGAAGTCACTGAAGGAAGCCATGGCTAGCCGCCTGTCCGCCACCCTCCACGACCCCAGGTACGTCTTTGCCACGCTTCTGGACCCTCGCTACAAGACCTCCCTGTTCACGGAGGAGGAGGCAGAACAGTACAGGCAGGACTTAATCAGGGAGCTAGAAATACTGAATTCTACCTCAGAAGACACAGTCGCCTCCCACGGCTGTGACTCAGGGTCCTCGCCAGGAGCTTCCGGCGGGGAGGACCTGTGGTCGCTGGTGGCCAAGGTGAAGAGGAGAGGTGGCAGGGAAAAGCCGCCCGAGGACATGGTGCTTGCCTATCTGGAGGAGGAGGTGCTGGAGCACGGCTGCGACCCCCTGGCCTACTGGAACCTGAAGCGCTCGTCCTGGCCTGTGCTGTCCACGCTAGCCGTCCGCTTTCTGGGCTGTCCTCCAAGCACAGTCACCTCCGAGAAGCTGTTCAGCACCCACACGGAGAACAGCAGCTTCGGCCAGCCCAGGCTCATGATGGAGCATTTTGAAAAACTCATCTTTTTGAAAGTGAATCTGCCCTTGATATACTTTCAGTATTGACCCCACCACGGAGCCGCAGACCAGAGGTGCTCTTCGGAGCGCAGTTGTACCCGGCTGTGACCCGCCCAGCAGGGCCGTGTGGGATACTGGGCCGGCCTCTAGGGCCGCCTGTCAGCTCTCACGTCGTGTCCGCGTGTGCCTTACTCCTCCTGCAGCCAGGTATTGCGGTGCGTTCTCAGAAGTCCACTGGCAACAGCCTCTCTCTAATGATGAAATAGGATGATCAGGTTTTAATTCATAACTGTAAAGTTTTTTAAAGTTAGGGGTTAGTAATTTGTTTTACTAGAATGGAAAGAAGACATAAACAGTTTTATTCTGCAGGTCTTTTATTCAATTGTGTAAAAACCACAAATCAGGTACTGTATTTCAGTTAACATTGCTTTAATTGCAACAGAACAGCTTTCGTGGCTGTCCAAGGAAAGGTGTGAACAGGAGGTGGAGTTCGAGCTATCTTGACCAAGCAGTTCTCAGCTGTAGGCTGTAAGCGTCGAGCAGAGAGAATATTCTGGAAGCTGACTCTTTAACAAGGACAGGGCATTTGAAATGAAACTGAAGTGAGGGGTCGCAGAGTATCGGTCATTTGGCCACCAGAACGTTCCATTCCGGGCTTTGTATTCAGGTTTTTACATGGTTAACTCAGAGGTACCCAAGCTCTGTATCATGAGCTCCTTGAAATCGGATCCAAGTTTGTAAACTTGTGCTTATGATTTAGCCAGTACCTAAAAATGAGCAACCTGTTGATCCAATCTCTGTGCGGCTTGTTCAGCACTGTGCTCTGAAGCCATCCCCTACACATCATGTACACGGATCCCCCAGTTTGAGCAGTTACGGCTAAGATCCCTTTTAGAGGAGATGGCTTCTTAAAACAGGGAAGGTGCTGGTCGTACTGCAGTTGTGAAAATAGCCTTAGGCATTTAGATTTTTTATGCTAGGGAAGATCCAGCCATCACTTGGGTGTTTAGAATCCCAGTGACATCAGAATGAAATATCAGTTGTCAGATTCTTTTAACAATATGTCCTCAAAGTTTTTGTGTTAACATCTGAAAAAAGGGTTCATTTTCTCATTTCAAATCAATTTAATATTGATCTTTTAGAAAAGCTGTCATTTTGTTAAAATATTGTACCTATACTTAATCTAAATTTGTGTGGACTATGCTTTAGTGTATTTATAAATGGTGAACTCAGTTTCTGAAATTAAATTTTTTATTTGCAATTTTCTAGTGCTGGTGGGTACTTGCTTTTTATTTGGGGGGAGGGTAAAACAGGCATCCTCTTTGGGAACTGACACATTGAAACCACATTTGTACAGCTCCAGCCAGGCATTGGGGAGCACAGACAGATCCTTAAACCACATTTCCGCCCATGGTGGTGATGATGGCAGAGGCTTCCAGGTCGTGTGTTAGAGGGAGTGTGGCTACAGGGTGGTGTCCTCAGAACATCAGCCAGGGCCATTGGTGGCAAGGAGGGAGTAGCGTCCACAGCCAGCTCACCAGCCTGTGTTTGGGAGGATTATTTGAATTTTAACATCCTTAGAATGTTGCAGTACTGAGTTTTGTGAGTTTTCTAAAATAGGGCAGCTCACGTCACTGGCAGGATGGCACCTGTCCCCTGCTCCTTGGACAGCCACAGTGGGCATGGGAGTCTCTCTGCTCCTGCCACCTGGCTGTGACGGAGGATGGAGTAGTGGTGCCAGCGTGGCGTGGTGTCCTCACACGCACAGCTACATGCTGCCGTTCTCTGCCAAAGTGCCCTGTGCCGCATCCATGTCTGAAAGGGATTGTGGACCCACTCCAGTGGCACTGGGAGCACCCTCCCCTGTACACTTCACTCAGAGTTGTGGCACCTATTGAACCTGGCACCCTCAGGCACTAAGGAAGGGGCCAGCAGTCCCAAGGGACAGGTGCTCCTGTGGGACTCTCCATGCAGTTTCTCTGCATTTAGGTGATATTTTGGATAGGTTCCTGGATTTTCAGGTGTCTCAGGTAATAAAAAGCCCTATGTGTGAGCCTCAGAAGCATCCTGCTCTGTGAATGAAACTACCAGTTGTCTAATAATAAAACAATCTTATCTGAAGCTAGAACTCCCTTTCCTTGACATCTAACTATAAGGGAGTAGCTGGAGTCAGGCCAACCCTCCCTTGAGAATTATCAAAGCCATATAAATCCTTTTTTCCTTTTCTTTTTCTTTTTATTTATTTTCTTGGTTTTTTTCTGCAATTCTGAAAATCAAACCCAGGGCCTCGCACATGCTAGGCAGGTGCTCTACCACTGAGCTGTAACCTAAGCCCACAACGCCTTTTTGAAAAGGGTTTTCTGAAGATGTCAGAGAGCAGTCAAGACAGCCAGGTTTAAGGAAACAGCATCCAGGAGGAGGAGCCCTGGACAAAGGCGAGTCCCGTGCTCAGGACTTTTCCTGTCAGGACATTTGCTGGTCCTGTCTGAAGCTGAGCAGAAGGTGGCAGCCAGAGCTGGTGAGGGGCACGGGGCACAGAGATCCCAGTGACCGTGAAGCTGTCACATCCAGGACCCCAGGAGCCGACACCGGGAGTTGCTTCCTCCTGGGCTTCTCATGCCCAGGGCATAAGTCAGGAGACTGAGGCCACCAGTGCTGGGGGATGGAGCTCAGGCAGCCCATCCACCTTTCAGAGAGCACTGTCCAGAAACAGCTACTGAGCCTTCACATATAGTGTGTCCCTCTGTAAGAACTTACATCACCAGACCCACAGGACCACATGCCGAGAGGTGACCCCCACACAGCCCAGATACGAGCATCCCTGCTCTACGCGCCCATGAGGGTGCATGTGTGTGCAGAGACCAAAAGTTGGAAATGTACTTCCTGCCATGGACTGGTGTGGGTTCCCCGGCTCCTGTGCTGCCCGGCACCCCAAAAGCAGTTAAAAATCTGAGCCAGGTGCCATGACACACCTGTAATCCCAGCATTGAAGGATTCTGATCCAAGAGAATCAGAGCTTCAATTCCCACCTGAGCACCTTAGGGGAACCCTATCTCAAGAAATAAAGAGGCTGGAGATGTCACTCAGTTTGGGGGTGTCTGGTTCAATCCCCAATACTGAAAAATAAAATTTAAAATTTAAGTGAATATCACTTTTGCCCCATCATAAACTTGAAATATCATAGTTGGACCATGGTAAATCAGGGACCTTCAGTATTTATGAAAAGCGGGAGAATGCTGCCCAGGAGTAAGAAGTGATAAACGAGAACATCTTTAAAAACTACAATGGCAAATGAGTTCAATAGGTGGATTGAATCCCAAACTGGAAGTGGACAAGAGGATCTCTGAGCTGGGAGCCAGTCAGACCCTAGACGGTACCAGGACACCAGGGCTGGGGTGTGTGGCAGAATCCCAGGGACCAGCATGCAGGGGAGTAGCCCTAGGAGCTCTCAGAGGATAGATGTCAGGAGGTCTGAATCTAAAAACCTCTACCAGCACCTGCCAGCAAAGTGCTGGGGCCAAAGACAGGAAGTCTGGAAGGCCTTCTCTTGATGCAACAGGCAGCCACATATTTAAAACAGGAATGGTGCTGGTTGGAACCATGGGGTGGCATCTTGGACGTGCCGACGTAGACTCACATACCCAGTAAATATATTCCTTGAAAGTGACAGTGATAGGGTCTCACTGAGTCACCCAGGCTGGGCTGAACTTGCTTTCCTCCTGCCTCGGCCTTCCAGAGTGATTACAGATGTGCACCATCTACAGCAAACATCATAGTCACTGGTGAAGGACAAAGATTTTCCTGTAAGATCAGGAAGAAGGCAAAGATGCTTACTGCCGCCATTTCAACATAGGACTGGAAGTCCTCACCAGAGCATCTAGGCAAGAAACAAAAGGCATCCAAACTGAAAAAGAAGAAGGGACATCATCTCTCTTCACAGATCACATGTTCATATGTAGAAAACTCGTAAAATTTCACACACACACACACACACACACACAACTAATAAATGAATTCAGCCAAGTAGGATATAAAGTCAACATGGAAAATCCAATTGCACTTCTGTACATTAACAATGAACAATATAAAACAAGAAAACAGTTCTGCTTACCAGAGCATTACAAAGAATAAAATACTTAGCAATCAAGGTAAGAGAAATGTACAGTGAAAAGCACAGACATTTCTGAAAGAATGTAAACAGACATCCTGTGTTCATGGATTGGAAGGTCCAAGATGGTTAAGATGCCAGTAGCACCCAAAGGGACCTACAGATCTGATGCAATCCTTACCAAAATCCCAACAATTTCTTTTTTTACAGAAATAGGTCACTCTAAGTTTATATAAAATCTCAAGAGGCTCCAAATCACCAAAATAGCTGGAGGAGTCATACTTTCTGATTTCAAACCTTAACACAAAGCCACAATAATCAAAGTTGTGGTGTAGTCATCAAGATGAACATATAGATCAATGGAATTGAATAGAGCCCACAGAAAACAAACCCTTACCTGCCTAGTCAGATGATTTTTGGCAAGGGTACCAAAACCATAGGGAAAGACAGTCTTTTCCACAAAAGGTGCTGGGCAAACTGGTTGTCCATGAGCAGGAGAAGGAAGTTAGATCTTTACTTATATCTATGCAAAAATTAATTCAAAATAGATCCATAGGTTAGGTGTGCATGCCTGTAATTCCAGCTGCCCAGGAGGCTGAGGCAGGAAGGTCACAAATTGAAGGCCAGCCTAGGCAGCTTAGCAAGACCTTGTCTCAGAAAAAAGAAAAGGGAAAGAGTAGGGAGGAAAGGAGGAGAGAGGGAAAAGGAAGGAAGAAAGAGGAAAGAGGCAGGCGGACCTGGGATGCAGCTCAGTGGTGGAGCACTTGCCTAACATGTATGATACCCTACGTTCAATCCCCAGTCACACACACTAAATGGATCCATGACCTGATTGTGAGATCTCAAACTACAAAACTCTTAAAACACAGGGGAAAAGCATTGTGACATTGGATTTGGCAATGCTTTCTTGGATATGTCAAAGGCACAGGCAGCCAAAGAACAAATTGGACTTGATGAAAACATTTTTTTAAAACTCTGCACCAAAAGACACTTTCCACAAAGTAAAAAAGCAACCCACTGTGTAGGAGAATAATATCTGATAAGGGACTGATAGCCTGAAATTCAGTAACACCGACCACAGGCCCCACGCAAGGGCAGCGCCTCACACCCACCGGACAGGCATGTGCAAAACAGCCCTGAACAACAGCCTCACAAATGTGCACTGTTGGTGGCAACTTCAAACAGCACAGTGGCTGGAAAACCATATAGTAGTTCCTCAAAAAGTGAAAACAGAATCACCATATGATGGGTATAGACAAAAACAGTTGAAACATTTGAAATCAGGGTCTCGGAGATGCCTAAACCATGTTCACAGCCAGGTGTGGAGGAACCGGTGACCAAATGTGGTCTGTCCATAACAAAAGGTTATCTAGCCTTGAGGAGGGGACTCTGAAATCTGATAACCTTGATGTTGAGAAGTAAACCAGTCACAAAATGGGAAATGGTAAGTATTGCCTGACTCTACTTATATGAGGGCCATACAGTAGACAGACTCAGAGAGAGAGTGGAATAGACAGGCATAAAACTGTCTTCACACATGGCAAGACCATTTATGTAGAAAATCCTAGGAAATCGACAAAGAAAAGTTACTAGAACTGATAAGTGAGTTTAGCAGTGTCTCAGTAAAAATGACTTAAGGCTTCAGCATTTGAGGTCAATCTACAGAACTCTATTGTTTCTATACACAAGCAACCAAAAATCAGAAATTGGTATGTTTTAGTCAGGCATGGGGAACACGTGTAATCCCAGCACTTGGGAGGCTGAGGGTCACCATGAGTTAAAGGCCAGTCTGGACTACATAGCAAGACCTGTCTCCAAAACCAAAAATAAATAAAAGAGAGGGGGAGACAGGGAGAGAGACAGATTGGTACGTTTTAAAATACCACAGAAATAAAGAAAGAAATGTATTGGTGTGTTTTAAAACACTATTTACAGGCAGGTGTGGTAGTGCATCTGTGTAATCCTAGACCTCAGGAGGCTGAGGCAGGAAGGTTGCAAGTTTTAGGCCAGCCTGGTCTATGTAAGGAGACCCGGTCTCAAAAAAAAAAAAATTACAGCAATATCAGAAATAGGAAATATTTATCGAAAATCTGACAAAAGATATGAATATAGACCTAAAACCATGAAATATTTCTGAGGAAATTTCCAAAGACTCAAGTG